CAGCTCCAAGAAGGTAAGCTTCTATATTTGCTTTCATGTTTCTGAAACTTCTGTCCGGTTTGTGATCATCCTTTTTTCTTTAAAAAAAAAAACAAAAGGTTTTGATGGATATGGGTTCGCCGTTCAGCAAGGAAGTCCAGCTTGTATCTTTCCACACTGTCTCTAAAGGATATTGGGGCGAATGTGGACAGCGAGGTGGATACTTTGAGATGACCAACATCCCTCCCAGGGTTTGTCTTAACTCTGTTTTAGCCTTTGTGTAGTTGCTACTCATGTTATGTGTTGAACATAACATAATCGTAATATGATTTCTGGTTTTGCAGGTTGTTGAGGAGATATACAAGGTTGCATCAATTGCTCTCAGCCCCAATGTCTCTGCGCAGATCTTTGTAAGTCAAAATAGTCTTTTAAGTATTTGTGGATTTTGCTTTTGTAGAAATCGTCAGTATGTTCTGAGAGTGATATGAAATGTGCAGATGGGTTTGATGGTTAGTCCTCCAAAGCCTGGAGACATTTCATATGACCAGTTTATCCGTGAAAGGTATATATATGTATAATAAGCTTTATACAGTCGCGATCATCATCCTCGGATTGAATAACTAATTTCCCCTTTTGCATCGCTTCTCTAGCAAGGGTATTCTTGAATCTTTGAGAAGAAGAGCAAAGATCATGACTGATGGATTCAACAGCTGCAAAAACGTAGTCTGCAATTTCACAGAAGGTAAAAAAAAAAAAACTAAGCAACAAAAACAACTAAGTTTGGATGTTTTTGTTGTTGTTGATTCTGGTGTACATGTTTAGGTGCAATGTATTCGTTTCCTCAAATACGGTTACCACCGGGAGCTATACAAGCCGCAAAACAAGCCGGAAAAGTACCAGACGTTTTCTACTGTCTCAAACTCTTAGAAGCCACAGGAATCTCCACAGTTCCTGGTTCTGGATTTGGACAGAAAGAAGGGTAAACAACTAAGAACTTACCCCGAGTTTTGATCTTTTCCCTTTTGATCTCTTCTTATTATTACCTCATTCTTCCTCTTGCGGATTTTGACAGTGTGTTCCATCTGAGGACAACGATCTTGCCCGCGGAAGAAGAGATGCCAGAGATCATGGATAGTTTCAAGAAGTTCAACGACAAGTTCATGACTCAATACGACAATAACTTTGGTTATTCAAGAATGTAATTTACTTCTTCTTCTTATCCTGTGAACAACTATTGTGTTCTGCTGCTACATACACTCGTTAAAGCTAAATATCTCTGTAGTACACTCTTCTCATTCTCATATTCTCTAAACTTACTATGTCTCCTACTTCTCTATTTGCAATTGGAATCTGTTAAGAATCTTTATATCTCAACTGAATGAAGTTAGGCGATGATAG